TTTCCCGGGGTGACCGGTGAGCGTTGTGCAGGGCAGATGTGGGTAAGCAAACGGCTGTTAACCTGTGAGTGCGGCACGCGTCGGAGAGCGTGCCAGCGGCCTGGCAGGACACGGCTCAGCCCTGCTCGGTTCGTTATCTGTTTGTGGCGGGAGGTGAATATCCTGCACTCCTGGCGCCAGGAGCGGTGCTGACAAAACCCAGAAAAAATAGTCAAGCATTTCACGTACACGCTCTTCGCGCTGCTGCGTTGTTTCCCCTCCCTCAAGGCGTTTTCTCTTTCAGGTGTTTACCGACCCCAGCAACCTCCAGCGGCACATCCGTTCCCAGCACGTTGGTGCGCGGGCCCATGCCTGCCCGGACTGCGGCAAAACCTTTGCCACCTCGTCTGGCCTCAAACAACACAAGCACATTCACAGCACTGTCAAACCTTTCATATGTAAGTTGTCACGGCCATCACAGAGCTCTGGCTTTTGCTATAATTGCACGTATCCTGCGGGGCCCCCCAGTACTAGCTGTCCCTCTGCGAGCAGCCGCCGTAATTTTATAGGTCAGAGCACAAGATGAAATTCCGCAGCGGTTCTTTTTTTTTTTTTTTTTTTGCGTGCTCCCTGTTTTTTCAGTAAACATTCGTGGCAGTTTTTGACTTTCTTGACAAGTTAAAAGCTGAGTCTCTCAGCAGTCCTAGCGATGCCATTTTCTCATATCTTTTCTTTCTCTCGTCTTTTTTTCCTTAATAATTTTTGAACGTTCATGTTGGTGACATAAATAAATAGCTGACACGGCCTGATCGAAATGTTTTTCAGGGGTGCCTCAAACTCCGTAGCCGTTGTAAAGAATTTGGAATAGTCACAGAGATGAGAAGAAGGTGTTTTTCAAAAAGAGTTCTTTCCTTCTTTATTTATTGCATGTTTCATCTAGATAATGCTTGGAAGCCAAATAAATAGCAGATTAACTGTGTCCTTAGTGCTCTCTTTAGTGGAATATTTCCAAAAGGGCATTTTCCCTTGAGAGCCATTCATCTCATTACTTGTCATTCTCAGGGTTGTATATTTTTTTAATTGACACAGCACCTATTGGATTTTGATAACTGTGCAGAAAAGTGGATTGTGTCACAACAAAGCTATAGAAACTTTAGGGACTACTTCCTGACACTCTTCAGAAAGCGTAGTTCAAGCACAGAGCGGGATCTGTGTTTGATTCCAGGCTTTGATGTTACGGTAGGGAAGCCACTGAACCCACTTCTGCCTTTTTTTCCCTGTTGGTATAATGGGAACAGTATGCAAGAGTATCCTGGGAGACTCGTTTCATTAATGTGTTCTGAGATAATCAGATGGGTGTCAGTGGAGGAAGAAAAAATACTCTTACTGCTCATTTTGATGCAATCTTTCATTTGATGACGGGCACATGAAAGAGATAATTTGAATCTCATAGTATAGCTGCAGTGAGATGAATGATTTCTCCTCATAATCTCCTCACTCTCACCTCATAAGAATTAGGGAGTTGTCAGTCTAAATCAGTGTGTGAAACGGCTTGAGACTGATTCTGCCCTAGTTCAGATGTGCCAGGTGGAGTCACATACGTGAATATGGAATCCATTAGCAACTTTAGGGGAGACATGAGGCAGGATTCGCTGGAAAGTTTTTCTTTCCTGTTCAGTGGAAGAAGGGGGTATTAAGGGGGAGCACGTGTTTGTTTGCTTTTTACAATATCATAGCTGGTGCTAAAAAAACCCTGCAAAACAGTAATTTTCTAACCGCAGAACACAGAGCAGCAAGAGAGGACATTACACACAAAGTTACTGAATCATTGTTTAACTGGAGACCTAAACAAAAAATTTCCAGTTTTCCATATTTTAGGATGATGATGATGTGAGCTGTCGTACCTATAGCACTTTCCTTTAGGGAATTTTGTGCAGCATCGTATATAAATCTAGCAACTCTTCCTGGGGTGGAAAACGGAAGAAAGGAGCCTGATTCCCTTGGAAGAGTTTGCTTTGGTTATCCTTAGCCTTCTCATGAAGTTTAGCCGTATGGCAACAATATAACTTCCTTTTTGCAATATTGAGAAGGCACACAGTAAAAATAACGCCAGCGGCACAAACGCAGTGTTGAGCCGGTGAAAACCGACGGAAAGTGCATCCGGTTGTGATAGAATCTGCTTAAGCAGATTAGCCATTTTTTATAAACTTGTGTCTATCTTCTAAACCACAATGTAGCATCCCTTGGCCCAGGGCAAGGGAGATGGTTAAAATTAGAAAGGCGTAATTTTGGTCTGGAAAGAAAAACATACAAACATCTTTTAAAGAAATCCCTCCAAATGTGACATATCTTCAGATATTAGTAATTGAGAGGGAGTTTCCTCGTGGTATCCTTTACACGTGGAAGCGTTTGCACCTGCCTGTTCATTTGGACACACACAGTCACTCTCACAACCCTAAAGTTGCTGGCTTTGCGTAGAAACGCAGGCCAAGGAGAATACTCACCTGTTCTAGAACCAAGGGTCAAGCAGTTAAAGTAGCATCTTAAAAATAAAGTAATAACAGGCAGCAGTGAACCGGCTGTCCCGACTTCAGCTTGGCAGCGCAGGGGTGCGGCGCTCGCAGCCCTCTGCGACTGTCCGCACATCTCTTGCGACAGCGAAGCACAGAGCAGCCCGCAGGGACGGGGCGAGTCTGTGGGATGACTTGGGTGTTAGGTGGATGCTGACACCTTCCTCTGCTTAAATTTCTATAGAAACCGAGATTGTGGTGTTCAATATTAGCTGTACAGAAAAGAAATCGAGCAGTGTTTCCTTTAAGAACTCCGTTTAGACATTCTTTAAGAAAACATTTTAAAATGAAGTAAAAAGCTAAATGAACCCTTTCTTTGAAAGTCCAAGGTAGCTAAAATAATACATGCAACAGCCATAAATGTAGATGTATATGGTAATAGTTGTTCAGAAGAACTGACACAAGTTTTTAAGGAGTGCTTGCCAAAAAAACTAGGGTCGGCTTTAGCATAGTCATTTGAAAAAGCTGTTACTCAAACCCTGAAGCTCTTGTGATGCCTTTCTAGTTCTCCTCCTGCTTGCGCTTCCTTTGCAGCTCCTCGCTGTATCTGGGTCCAGAGCAGCAGGGCTGAAATTTTCTGTTCATATTACATTTCTAGTGCAATCAGAAATCAGATGCAGCAGACCCGCCAGGGACAGTCCACTGAATTTTGGGATGCATGTTTGAACCGAAATGTCAAACTTGTTAAATTTTAATAATCTTTGCTTTTAACGTCAATAGAAAGGGCTTCCCCCTACATTTTCAGAGCTGCCGGTGGAATATTCTCCTGACAGACATTTGATATTCAAGCACCGATGTAAATCCTAACGGTTTAGAAAGCAATATAGGGAAAGCCACACCTGCATGTACCTCTCAGTAGAAGTTGGGAGGGATGAAGGGATGGAGGAAGGACCACTTCGTCACTGAATTGGAGGACTGAGTGTCGGGAGGATTTGGATTCAGGTCCGTGCCTGCCCAACTCTGAACAATACCCGTTCCCTCTCTTTGTCTCAGTTTCCATGTTTACAAGGTGGTGATAACAGCAGGTCTCCGGTGAAACACTAAGAAGCAGGATTTATTCCTATGTTGAAAGAGGCATCAGATAATAAAAAGTTAACAGTGTTTTGATACACAGAAAAGTTTGGGTGGGATTTTTTTCTTACTTTGCCCCGTTCCTTCCACAGCAGCAAAGTCTGTAGGTGAGAGAGGTCATAAAATTTGCATTTTGAAAGCTTAGTATTTACAGGTCGTTAAAGAAAACACTGATGTAGCCTTAATTTAGCATCGCTAGGGCATCTTGCTAATTTAACGAATACAAGGTCTCACCCTCCCTTCTAGCCGAACTGAGGCCTGGCTGGCAACGTATTTATAGAACATCCCCATGGAGTGGTTACTTACCATTAACGGCATTAAAGAAAGGGTAGGTTTGATTAAACGAGGCAAAGTTCTTCTCCCTTCAGCCCTCAGTGCTTCCTGCCGTGCCAGGGCTACAGGGAAAGCAGACTAGCTCATATAGTTAGATACCATCGTTAAAATGGCGTGATTCTCTTCCGTGAAAATCCCGAAGATGAGCTTGAGTAGGAGCAGCGCATCCCCTCAGATTTTTGTAGGGTCGCTTGTTGAGAGATTCCCTAAGAGAGCAGTTCATTGAAGGGGAAAGGTGTTGGTGTTATTTCTCGGTGACAGCCTCTGTGGGTCTGGCCCGTGCCAGCTGGCCGACGGCT